GAGCATGTAAGTCCTTTAGTCCTTATTCCTTGATCCTTATTTCTTGAATTTCAATTTTCTAATCTAAAATCTAATTATCTGATTTCCAATTTCTACCACAGCTCCATACAAAAAAAAGAAATAGGTTGGAACAGAAAAAATTGAATGATTTGGTTTATATGCGGTATAACGAGCAGCTTAGGGAGAGATATGAAAATCGCACAAAACTCAACCCAATTCAATTATATGAAGCTGATGGTGATTCCATAAGTGAGTGGACCATGGATCCAAGACAAGAGCGTATGTTTGAGGGTGAGGATCTTACATGGCTTGATGTCAAGGTAGCAACTGGGGCTAATGAAGAAGATCGACCTAACACTAGAGCACAAGTAGAGGTGCTGTTGGGTCTAGTCGCACTCGCACATTAGTTTCATAGGTCAAGGAGGAGGAAGCTGACTCAGAGGAGACCGATGAAGAAGAATACATAGAGGCCGTCGAGGATGATATTGATGATGTGCATGACGACTCTCAAGATGACTTGTCTAATTGATATTTGAAAAATGAAGTTCAAATTTCAAAATTGACTCTCAAAATGGATGATTGTATTAAGTTATTAAGTATTAACTCTTCTTGAGCTTGACTTTTGGTTTGTATTTTGTAATATCACTATTTTGTGCTTATGGTTGTACTTCTGGTTGTTGATGGTTGTGCTTATAGTGCAAATTTGTGCTTATGGTTGTTGATTGTTGAATGCTTTATGAAGCTGGTTTCAAGTTTCTGGTTTCTACCAGGGGATAGTGAATAACTGGATACAGAATCTCCGACAGCTAATAGTTTTGAAGTTAATCATTAAACTAAAATACCTACTATCACATATATCACCTTCATATATTTTTCTATGTATTAACTTATTTTTTTAGAATTTTTTTACATTTATTGACCACATCATCGCGATGCACCCGCATCCGGGCCGCATTGCCGCATCGACCCCCCACCGCATCAAGGCCGCATCCCGCATTTTAAAACACAGATTACTCCCACAGTCAAAAGACTTAAAACACCACACTAGGTTGATTGATTAGGCTAAAATTTGGGAAGCAACTAGCAATTGTTAGATGATTTGAGGTACAAATAAAATAAACTTTGCAGGTGTAGCTCGCTCCCA